GTGTTCAGCTTCGTCGTCGAGGCATCTAAATTCTGACGGGGCGCTGGCGGAGACCGTGCCCCATGCCTCGTGCCCCACACGTAAACTTCTCTGATAAATTGGGGCAATTAATTCGCATTATTAAGTAGAGCAGCTCACCAAGCAACGCGGGTGGAAAGCTGGAGCAGGAACTATTCACCAGTGCCGGAAAAGTGCTTCCTTGAAATAGGGCTATCATGCTGTATACACTAGAGATGGCTAAATCGTCTGTATGGCTCATTCGTTCCCATGGTTTTGATTCCCGTTTCGAAATCGATTCCGTCGAATCGTTCATAATTCCTTACGATTCCTACGAGCCCCTTCACACTTCAGTTGGCCCACTTCAAGATTTGTACCAAAATATGCCTTTATAAACTAAACATGACGAAACTATTTACTTCTAAAACAATTTATTTTCTCATAACATTTTAGATACACTCTAGTCGTAAAAATACATATTTGAAATCACTTAGACCTATAACTTATAGAACATCTGAATAAATAAACAATGTGCGAATAAATGCGCGAAGTTAACAAAGCAACACTTTGGGTAACATCACCTTTATATTTTATTACGGCTGAAATTCTTTGGGGCATAGTGTTAACCAAGTTTTGGCAAACATTTGGTGTAACACAATCCCATATTTCTTGAAGCTTTTGTCTCAGTTCGGTGATTGTACGAGCAGGATGTTGTAGAACCTTTTTCATCTCGTGCCACAAAGTTTCAATAGGTGACAGATCTGGACTGCTAGAAACCCATTTCAAAAGTGGTACATTATTTTCTTCCATCCATTTTATAGCCTTTTTTGAGGTATGGCACGCTGCACCATCTTGCTGAAACACAAAATCTTGGCCGGATGTCAAACATTCTTCCATCACTGGTAAAAGCGATTCTTCTAAAATTGCCAAGTATTTGTTTGTATCCACATTTCCGTCATTAAAATGAATTTTTTATACTCCTTTTGATGACATACTGCCCCAGACCATAATGGATGTTGGACATTTCGCTTTTCCAACCAACACAAACTTCGAATCGGGCCTCATCACCCCCATTGTATTGCACACCATTGTTGAGGTGTCCATTGTCTATGTTCTTTAGCCCATCTAAGCCGATTTTTCTTTTCCAGTGGAGTTAATAGTGGCTTTTCTTTGGCCTATTAAACAAGTTGTGCAACTTTAGGGTTTTTACTTCAGTTTTTTTATAAGAAAACTTACCTAGCAAGTGCTATATCCCAGTTTGTGGGCCTCTCTATGAGTTGTGGACCTCGAAATTCTGCTTCCAACAGCGTCACTCCACAGAGCAGTTAATTGTAAATAATTGGCACGCCTGTTTTTCACGATTATTCTTCTTAATGCTCTTCGGTCGGCATTTGTGATATTACTTTTTTCCACATATCGTGGCTTAATATTAACTGAGCCAGTTACGTTATATCTTCTAACAATATTTCTCATACTGTACCGTGATAAGCCTAACAAAGTTGCAATTTCTGAGTTTGATTTCCCAGAAAAATATCATTATCAGTAACCGAATTTTCTCACTTATAACCTTTCCTCTACCCATTTTGAAAACCTTAACTAACCAAAACTATTTTAAACATATTCTGACAGCTGTGATTAATAACAAAAATTGTCATGGCTTTTATTTTTCACAGCCAGCTATGCGTTCTAGACTTATTTTGCATTGAAATGAAAATATGTTGATATGCTTAATTGCAACATGTGTTATTTTTATGCTGCAAATTTGATTAGGGAGTGATAAAGTTGGTGTTTTCTACTATATATTATCATAATATTCATTGTTAATATTTTAAACCTATAACACCCTGCTACATTTTTATTATTTGTGTTTGATAAGAAAAAAACAAAGATTTCAATAGTTGGGCCAACTGAAGTGGGAAGGGGCTCGTATATACCCGCAGCATAGCTTAGATAACAAGCAGCTATGTATATTAAAGGAGTATAGTATGTTTGTCCAAAAAGAAGTATTTACAACTTATAAACGAAAGGAAAAATATTTTCTTATTTTGCTTCCATAAAAATTGGTCATAACAGATTACCAGAAAGTTAATAGTATAGCTATATATACAGGGTGACTTCGAAGTTGAGTCATTTATTTTAACAGTGAGTAGATCTGATCAAAAGAAATGTTTTTTTCCTTTACCATTTTTCTGGTAAAATTAAAGTAACAAAGTTATAGCCCTTTGGAAGTTTGAGGGCGGTACCCTGTCTCAATAATAATATCATGTGCTCGTGTTTGGCAACAACGGATATAATCCGCCTTATCGGTTCATTGCATCGGAAACAAAAAAGCGAAAGAATTTGGAACGATGTTTTTACAATTATTTTATTCAGTTCAGTTATACATACAGTCAGTGTCAGTCGGTAACGCGTGTGAATAGTGTCTGTTGCGTGGCTCAAACGAAATAAAAAATGGCACATGTTTATGCGGATCGGTTTCCCAAACGAGTGCAACCAACCCCTCGTGCCTTTGTTAATGTAGTACAACGGGCTCGTGAATCAGGTGACTTAAGACCTCACAGGGGACCTCACGATCAAATACAGGTCCGCACTGAAATACTTGTCGGGAGGATACTTCATAAAACAAGGTAAAAATTTTTTTTTATTTTTTTTTTATTTTTACACACATATTTTGGTTTATCTTCCTTCTACAATCATTATCTGAAAATTAATGACTCAACTTCAAAGTCACCCTGCATAATGATATTTTCGCTTATAATGTGTAAACCAAGCATCTAAGAGTATTAAACACGTTTTTTTTTTGTTTTGTCAACAATTTGATGATTCTTGATGTATAAGAAGGAAACACACGGGCGACATACTCCAGATGTACGTTGTCCGCATGCAACATTATTTCAGGTGCAGATAATTCCAATTGTTATCTTTGATCAAGAATAACATTTTACAGTGAATCCATTTTTTCACTACCACGTAAATATATGAACAATGTAATATTTTTTGATAATTCGTGATTGCTCATTATGAAGATCTCTTCCATCAATCTGCCTATTGGCGATTTTGTCACCGCGTAATTCCAGTAACAGTGAAAAAATGGGTTTAGCTGAAAATTGTATTCTTGATCATAGATAATGGCTTATGAAATTATCCTCACGGGAAAACAAGTTGGGTGATGGGACGTGGACAACGTGTAACATGCAGAGTATGCCGCGCGAATGTTTTTATAAGAATTATTAAGTTTGGCTCTTTATACTTAAAATTGCTTCAAAATAGACAAAGTGATCAATGATTTGGACCACAAAAAACTATATCTGATTCGGTCTAAGCGACCAGAAAAACCTATACAACGTTTGGTTGGGCTCAATTACTCGACTTCTTCGGAAAAAATGTCCTTGAAATGATCTCGAGGTGGCATTCAAATGATCTCACAACCCCAGATATGCAATCACACAAAAAATCCTGCTGTGTCGAATATCGGATAAATGCCGTAGAAATTGTATTTTTATTAGCATTTCGGCCTTCTGGACCACTGTGCTTAGGTCACGAGTACTTAGGTGACTCGAGCGTACCAAGGAAGGTGCAGTGTTTATTGTTCACGTAAGTATTCTTTTTTTTATACTCCAACTACCACGAATGCCTAAGGCCCAAGCACCCATTGGGTACCGTGGGGAATAGGGGGATAGATGGGAAAGGGGGAACGCCACACGGACTCTGGCGAGGGAACACGTGTGCATGCAACATGCACACATTCTGGCTCCGCCTACGAGATCCGCCGGGTGGTACCTCCGCGTTCGACAGTCAGAGACCGTCTACCACCTACGGACAGTCACAACATCCATAGTCAAGAGAAAAATTTCTCCTGGGACGGGACTCGAACCCGCACAGCGCACGGCGACTGATCAGGAGACCGAAGAGTCTACTAGTGCGGCCACCGCTGCTGCCTGAGTAGCGAAGAATTAAACAAATTCAAGTAACCATCAAATATAAATTTGAGCAACCAACGAGTATATATAAAATACGTCTCAAGTTTTTAAACTAATTCAAATTTTCCTCGGTAGGAAAGGTATTAACCTCCATTCTAACACCGCCAACAGCTAAGCATCTAGCAGCATCGCCTCCAGTGCAAAGTTTGTGTATAGCTGAGATGATATGACGCAACCGAAGTTCCGAAATTCCTGCTTGCTCCTAGCCTGCCACGACTGGTTATTAATTACCGAAGTTGTAGAGGTGTAGTCACGGCCTTTCGTAAGAACACCTTCCTGTGTTTTCAAACTTGTTCACCCGTCACTTTACTGGTGAAATATCATGGTGGCACGCTGCTATGCATGAAAAATTTCTGCATCTCTTTATATATTATGCTGCTACACATTTTAAATGGTACAATTACTATTATTATTTATTTTAGGGCAGCCTAGACGCCCAAGTCTGCCATTTTTTCCATTAAAATCGTATAGAGGGTATCCTCCCAGCTACGGTGTAAAACTTAAGAGGTCTTTTCAAAAATAAAAAGTTCCTATGAATATTTGTCTGGCGTTGCTTCGTTTCTGACATATAGGGCGTTGAAGTTTAAAAAAAAAACGTGTCAGAAAAATGGATATCTAGGAGTCGTGTATTTTATCAGAAGATTTACATTTTGCTCATTTACTTTAAGGTCGAAAATAATCATTATAATATCTGCAACCAGTTTTGCATTACTGACTTTACTGTAAATTCGAAAAAGGGAAGCCGAAAAGAATGGTTTAAGACAAAACAGACATATAGCTCCTCTATTTTAAGAAAGCATGCTCAGTAAAAGAATCCGGTTGGTTCTTGAAACCCGCATATTTAGCATGGTTTTGTGTATGAGTTTCCGAATTCGTCCCAATTTTCAAACCATTTTGATATATATCACAGAAGGTTGCCTTTTGTCAATGATCTCTTCCTCACTGAAAAAATGCCTTTAAATGCATTTTATCTATCAAATTGACCTAGGACCTAGTATTAACTCCAAAGTCAAGTGTTCCTACCTTGTGCATTAACAGTAGACGTCCCCAACGTCAGCAGAAACGTCAGCAACGTAGTCAGCAATGCAGTGGCTGGTGACAGACACAGGGGCAGCTTCTCGCTCGAGGCCCGGAAACGGAACAGCCGGAATGCAGCGACAGTCATTTTTATGCCGGAACTTCAGCAGTCTGCGAAACGGACGTCCTTATAGCTGTTCATAGTCGTCGGTGGTACACTGGTTCTAGTAGGCGGATGTCTGGAATAGAGAGAAAAAATTGCATGTTAATAAATTAGAAGCTTCGCAAATCAAACCTGGCGCCATTTTGCATCAACTTAACATGACATTTTATATTCGCCATTATCGGCACTTTGGAACTAGTTGTCATTAAGATGATGTAATAAATGTGTGTGAAACATCAAGGTACTTAAGCTTCAGAAAAAGAGCTAGCGGAGAATATTAATAGCTTCTACGGCATAAGCTATGGGTTCTATACATTCCTCCATAACTAGCGTTCATAGCAAGTACACGTGGAGTGGGCTAGTGACTAGTCGGTACCAAGTGACAAATATGGCGGTATGATCGCCATCGTAGCTACCATTTTAGATTATATTGGTGAGCAAAACAGATCCATACACATTTTTGGGAATAGAAACGGACGCAAATCTCAATTGACAACAACGTATATAAAGTTTAGGGTTCGCTTATCAGAATCAGCTTTGATAGATATGTATTATTCTCTCATCTACTCCCATTTATCAAGGCACACCATAATTTGGGTTCAATCAAGAGCAATTGTTCAAAAGAAGAGAATAATTAGATTAGATCCAACATCTATAGAAAAGAATCTTGCAGAGAGGTCTTCAGATGTAAGAACATCATGACTCCACCAAGCATTCATATTTATAAGTAGTCCTCTTCAAACATACTGATAACACAAAATTTATACAGAACAAAAACATCCACACACATTATAATTCGAGGGCCGGGGGTCTAAGTCCTCCAAAACACAGTCTGACACTGTTTGAAGGAACATATAACAAACCTCCAGCTAGTCTTAGCTAGCCAGCTTATGAACGTCAACTACGAAAATTGTGCTCTTTGTCTGGATACCTCGCACTGTGATATATCTCATTTTTTCACATTACTTTAGATGGGAATGTTTGTTCGCCTTTCTGTTTTGCAAATAATTTAAGGGTGTTCCTATTGGTACTGTCTTATACTCGTATATGCTAATGTTTGTTTTGCTTTACTTTTAATTTTGTTCTATGTACTTCCTCTCCGAACGAGTTTTTTCTTTCTTTCTTTTTATGATCTACAAGACCATAAATAATCTATCTATCTGACTAGGATTGAAGCGTATCAATATACCTCTTAACCCTACACTATTTTTCGAAAATGAACGGGAGCCTCTGAAACGTCAAAAAACGGAGTTTGAGTGATTTTTTTTTCGTTATTTGGCTCCTAGCTCCGCCGCCACTGGATCGATTTTCAAAAACTATACAGCTTTTCGTGCTTGACACAGTAGTAACGTCGTGTGAAAATTTATTAAAGTCCGAGCAGTACTTTACAAGTCATAAAGGGATGAGACATTAGCGAAAAGAGCGACAGACAGACCGACTGAAATGTAACATGTAACATCGAAACACCAATTCCTCGTCAGTTGGCGTGGGAATCAAAACTAGAGGGATTATGCGTCATGTGGCAAGGAAAACTTAATGAATTGCCACAGACATATTTTCCTGATGGCTGCGTGATTTCCCGCAATGATGATGTCTGCCAGCTTGCAAGTTCATGTATTCTAGCCATTTTTGGCCCAATGCAATGGGGTCAAGTACTGTGATATTGGCGGACTACTTTTCCTCCAATATCCCTAGCTCAGCTAATCGATTTTTTGACCTATATAAAAAACCCAAGGTTTATTAGATATTTAGGACCATTTTCTATAAAATATAACTTACATATTTGAGTCATGTCTGCACTGGTGAATTGTCTCGAGTAATCCTAGCTGGCAAAGGACCGAGACTTCAAAACCTTTTTACGTTTTTTCCGGGACCAAGCATTAATAAAATTCTAAATAACAAAAATGAAATTGAAGATTGGTTCATCATTTAGATTGAGTTTTTTTCATAGAACGAATTGACCAAAAATTTCATTATGTAATTAAAATGGCAGCGACGTCCAATTTTGATCCCGCTAGGCGGCGCTAGTGTGATTGGAGATCAAACTATCAAAAATAGATGGGAATACGACTGAGGAATTATGTAAAAAATGTAAAAAACGTAAAAGAACTGACGAAATGTCATCTTGCAGACTATGTAACTTTTAGTGTGAAGATAGTTGATTCCACATTTGCTCTGTACGATCGCTGTTCGCTGACGTTTAAGCAACACGTACTGCTACAAAACGAGTTCACAACAAGTGTGCGACAGCTTGTGCTAAGTGAATATCTTGTAGAAAAACCTACGTTATGTCACAAAAAATCTAAGAAATGTCAGCAAACGACGAAATGTCACTTTTCAAGATACTACCTATCTCGAAATGAGACGTTATACTGATTTTTTTGACATTATATTATGTTTTTTATATTATGTAGGTTTTTATACAAGATGTTAACCTAGCACTAGCTGATGGACATGTTGTCAACTCGTTTTGTAATTGTACGTGTTGATTAAATGTCATGAAGTTTCATTTTTCAATGTTTGGCCCTGATGTGATGTAAAATCTGCTTCAGAGATGGCAGTACTGGAGGTAACGCCAATGCATAGGTGCACAGTGAGGATTTATGTGCTCATAATATGCGTTGATGATAATCCCATTGGATTCAGGTTTCAAATACGCTTACTTGAAATTCAAAGCTAGAAATTAGTTGCGCATCCAGTTTTTCTTATCCATTCTGGAAATTACATATGCAAATCTGCTGAATTCCAAAAATAAGAGAGATAAGACGTAATTATATTCACTATTTACTGTCGAATTACAAGTCATATAGATGCTAACAGTAATTACACAAAACGCGAGTGCGGTGGTGATTTCTAGTAATTTTCCTCATAGTTTTTGAAAACACAAAAAAAATGTAATTTATAACTTTGAATAAATAACGCGTCGGGCACAGCTATTAGATATACTTCAATGACAGCATATTCAGTAACGATTTTCTCGCGCACCAAATATCACTGCTTTTATACACATGCAGACCAATATACACAATCATCCAGATGCGATCTTGCTATTCAACCAACTTCCTTCTCAGAGATGAAAACTATAGACTACTAAAAACTATGCAACCAACAATGCGTGTATTGAGCCATTCCTCCATAGATGGACGCTCACAACGATCCTAGTGACCAAACGTGAAATGACTGTTTACGCCTTAAAAAGTACCTAGTCTGCAAGATGACATTTTATAGGTTTTCTTGACGTTTTATAGGTTTTTTACATAATACCGTTCAGATTTAACAGAAAGTATTTGGCACAATATTTCGTCACGTTTTAACGTCACTTGACGTGAACAGTCGATCAGCGATTGGCATCTTTGTTTGTTTATAACCTTAGGCGTGACCTTCAGCCTAACTAGCGCGATCTACTTCTAACTTTACAGATACTTCCCTCATTATTCCCATATCAGTCTACTTTAAATTTGATTCAACCCAAAGCTGAATTTGACCCTGTCGTCACCTAAATGCCGAAAATCCCGAATCATAAGACGATTCTTTAAGGACCATTGTATTTAGATAGAACTTTCAAAAGTGTTAACTTGCACATAGAAAATAATTGATATTTGTGCTTATTGATCTGAATCCGGTGAATTATCCAGTCAATAACATGCTGTAACAGTAGTTATAACACAATGAAAATATAAGACACTAAACGAGAAAAATTAAACAAGAATACCTCATTTGTACGTGAGAAGCCGATCTGCTACATAAATCAGAAACACCATTATCTCTAGATCAAAAACAATAGATTTCTCTGAGTTACAGCAGAAAAAGTATCTAGGTATTGATATCAACTCGTTTATAATGATATAACGAATATGATTACGGCTTACACAACAACCTACAGTGTCGGCAGCCACTTTTGCTAATATCCTACGTTATGTAACGCATCTGTAGGTATGCCTGTTGATCTTGAGACTAACTACTTCATTTGCAACGAATTACGTAAGAAATGTACGTATTTTCAATACAGAAATGCGAATGGACCATGTGTCAAGTCACGTTAAATTTCTGGGATGCTAAGTTCCCTGAGGGATGGCGTAATGTTATAAGAAACGATATTACATATCATTATACAATCTAATATTACTATTCTGGATCAAGTCGCAGGTTGTAAGTTATTTTTTTTTCATAACGAAGGTCTAAATACCAGAGCACCGCTGCTTGAATAAATTTTGTTAATCCGATTTTTGAACTACCTAAGGTTACTAAAACTGCGAAAAGCCTCTTGAGGTAGATTGTTGAACAATCTCGATAGCTTAGGGACAAAGGAGCGGCCGTATCGGCCAGTTCTGGAGGCCGAAATTAGGCCGATCTGTCTCGCAGGCATATCGCGCGGCATCATCATATGTCTTCTACCTGTGATAGAAGCGAAGGTGAAATTGAATTCAATTTACCAAAGGTGATTTTTAATTCATTGTATGGAGCACTTACTTGGGCGTGATGCGTGCAACGTTTTAAATACAACTTTGAAAACCGAATAAATTGGTTAAAGCATAGAATCTTGATATGGGACTTCCTAAGTTGGACTTATGTATCGCCATACTTCCAAGTTTTATATTTCACTGTCTTGGTTGCACTCTAAATTGACAGTAAACTACTGGGGAAACTCACAACTTCAAAAACGTAATTACGTTTTGTTACAGCTGATTTTATAACATTTTGTGAATCATTAGCGAAGTTCCAGAATTCCCTCTATCTTTTGGGCCAGAGGAACATGACATCTCTATTCATGATACATCTTACTTCGTCTCTTGTAATTCTCTATTACAACCTGGTTATTATGTTACAGGAAATATGAACGACAATAATAGATTTTCTATATAATGCTGGGTTCACACCAAACCAACAAAACAGAAACCAAACATCAGCTCACATGCTTTTCAACAATTAAGCAACAAATCGGCAACATTTCGTCAACAATTCCTGTTTTGTTTCTGTTTCTGGCAACTTGTGGCGTGCCCGTCGCGGGTCGGTAAAGATCAAAAGGTTTCTGTTTTGTTTTCATATCTAGCAACATCGTCGGTGCGATGTGTACTT